ACTTTAACACCACTGACTCGTGACTTCAATTGGACTTGAGCCTTTTGACTTGAAAATACTTGATACCTTCCCCAAAAGCCAAAGATTAAAAAGTTATTTAAAAAGTGTGCCACAAATTAATTGATTACCCTTCATATCCAAAAACAACTAATTCATATCCAAAAACTAACTAATTAGCGCTATTCATCCCCAGCAAGTCGACACTTAATTAGCAGACCCACTTTGTTTGAACCAATCCAACAACATTCACTGTAATAACTACAGACATGCCCGTGGCCGTGACAGCCTCTGCAAATCCTTCTCCCCTTTGCTGTAAAAAATATGACCTAGTTTGTGTCAGAAGCAATGCAGATAGATACAGGAACTGAAGCGAAAGACCGGTCTGACTATCTGATGGGCATCAAGGTTGAGGAGACCACTCAGGGAAATTTGGTTATAAAACCACACGTTTTAAAAAGCCACTGAACTGTAACACCTTTACTGTAGCTATCACCTAATGATTGCAGATCTCAATTAAAAGGTCTTAGTTATCAGCACACTAATGACTATCTGGAAGTTGTTATCATGTTGCTAATGATGTAGTAATATAGAAAAACCTGTGAAATTACCATGACTAATGAATGGTGGCGTAGAGAGGTCTGTGGTCATTATGCTTATATTATGCTTCAGGTATTAACAGTGCATTTATTTTCCAGCCTGTGGGCCTGCTAGATAGTACAGTAGGTGTTCCATTCAGGGTGATTGGGAATAGCTGATGTCTCAGCAGTGGAGTGAAGGAGAGGGAATTAAGTCCATCATCAGGGACCTCTTCAGCACTTTGTAGTCATGAGGGCAAATCCTGACCTGAATACAAAGCAGCCAATTTGCTGTCATGCATCAAGATTGTATAGCTGGCATTAGCCTTAAACCCTGTTCAGGGTCATTCAACATATCTGATCTTTGGGTGTTGCTGACAGGGTCTCTTATGCAAATTAAGCCCAACTGACAACCAACCCAGAATACAGAATACTCCCTGCTATGCTTAAATGTTAGTACTAAAGGGAGTGCTTCCAGGCTGGGTTAAAGGCTATGGTCTTCACTGTATGCAATCTCTTCTCTCTTAATGTTCATGTATGTTTTATTTGTGTGCTACAGCTTACAATCACATACAGACTAGAATGCCAACATGGCAATTCCTCTTGATTCTGTAAGGAGAGGAAATAAAGTTAAATGGGTACATGTCACATCTGTCTTGTTCAGTTTTGAAGCTGTGAAGGTGTGTCCATATGACATTTCTTTTGGTATTATTTGGTGTTAGTGAGTCAGCCCATGCTCTCTAGTTGGGAAAGCCCATGCTGTTTCCCTAATGCTTTTCTGGGAATAGACACGTAGCTTTGGCAATTGGTTTTTCACTCTGGACTTGAAAGCAATGCAACACAGGGAGAAAGAAAATCCTGCTGTACGTGTAATATTTTCCTCTATCAAGTGCAGAAATATGTAAAAAAAAAAAA